GTATTAAGAGTTTACTATGAAAGCTTGAAAACCATAACCTACCTCCACCGAAGAATTGAAATCAAGCAAGTTAATCCTCAAAGCTTGGTGCTTTCCTCTTCTTTCGATCAACTTTCTCTCTCTTTCTCTTGTTCTTTCTATTTTCTTTATTCAAACCCTCTTTCTTTTACCCTAATTAGTATATAATTAAGAATAAAAGATGACAATAATACCCCACTAATTAACTTAAGGTTACCTCTTTTAACCCCCAAGAATTTGAGTTATTAATATAAACCCACGAACTTTATAATTAAGGCAAGAATAGTCAAAAACGTTCCTTAAAACTTAACCAGAAATCCGACTCCAACTGGGATTACGCAAGCTGTGACGGGCCGTCGCATAGTTCAGAAACTTGATTTTTGGGTGAATGGCCTGTGACGGTCCGTCCTGCCACTCCGTTACGAAGTTCAGAGAGTCGATTTTCAGTACCCAATTTCAGATTTTCTAAGTGTTTTGAAACGAGACCCTGCGACGGTCCGTCGTGCCCATGACGGTCCGTCGTGCCCATGACGGTCCGTCGTGGAGTCCGTCGCCTCAGCCTGTTTTTTCAGAAATAAAATCTGCTGCTCAAAACGACTAAACAGGTCGTTACAAAGGAAAGAATCAATCAAATATAAAAAAATATGATATTTTTCTTTTAGGAAAAGTAAAAACATTTATGGTAATATTTTAATTTTTTTTTAGGAGAAAATACACTTCAAATAAGATTTAAAAAATCAGAAGAAAACTCAAACAGTATTCTTTTCGATTGCGTATCATTTATAGAATTCAACTTAATGTATATATGGAGAGGAAAAGTATTTTATATCCAAAACTCAAATTTGATATTTTTGTCAATATTTTTAAAATTTTATATACTTCTTTCTCAATGCCTTTGGCATATAATAAACACTGCCTTAGCCAAGAAATGAAGGAATAAAATGTTATACAATAATTTACGTGGTAGGTATTGTGTAACTAAGTCATCAATAATTGATGATATATTCTCAATAAATCTAACAAAAAAAATAAATTAAAAGGTATTTTTTTGTCTAGTAAAAAGTGGGGGAAATTCAGAAAATGACATAGCACGTTTTTATTTATGTTTTCAAAGTCTTTCTCAATGCATTAGATATACACTGAATTAGCTATAATGACAAGAAAAAAACAATATAAAATGAAATTTAAATAGATTTACTAGAAAACATAGAGATGTTGTGGTCCCTATCTATGAAATATTTTTATTGATGAATTATTTTGAAGTAATAAGACGGATTTAAGAGTTAAATGTTATAAATTTTAAATTTATGATAATGGATTTAAATAATAATAAATGAGTTTTAAATTTTAATTTAAGCATATATACTTAATGAACTTAAAAATACAGTTATGATAAATCAAATGAATTTAGTTTTGGGTAAAAAATTGAATAAATCAGGTAAATTATTGAGATGAAACCACGTGTTCATCCGTTAATTTTAAAAAACGATAAGGGATAAGGTATATACAAACCTTAAAGTATACCATAGGACATTAGTATATCATTTATGATTATTCAAAGATATATTTACCATTTTTTCGCTAAAAAAAAGATAAACAACATCATTCTTATTCTTTTTACAACACTAATAATTTTGATTATTCATCAAGGTGGTGCTTGAGAAAAGAAAAACAAAAGGAGAAAAAGAAAAGGATATTTTCTTATATTAAAAAAAACTATGGTTCCTATAAAATATTTTTATTCACTAGTCATTTTGTCAGTATATACGGAACATACAAAAACGTGGTTTATAATTATAAATAGTTGATATTGATATATTATTTTTAATTATTAGACCTTTCAACTATGCATATATTTACACATACTCTTATGTTTACAATATTCGCTAGTAGATATTCAAATGTACAATTTCTTTTTGCTTCAAAAATAAATGTACTTGTTTTAGTAAGAATCATGTCTATTAAAAAAAAAAAATATATATATATATATATATATATAATGTGTAGTTTATTATTTTCTCTAGCCTTATTTTAATATTAAAAAATATATTATATAATGCAATTCTTTTCATGTTAAGTTTTCATAATTTGTGATCTCAAAAGCTAATTTTTACTTGAGATGGAGAGCGTAGTTGATATCTTTATAACAATTATTTTATCTAATGACAAATTATCATAAGAAATATTTATAATAATAATTTCATTGCTAATTTTTTATATTTTTATTAAGGAAACATAAAGAAAAAACTAAAGAAAGAGATGATACCAAACGTAAAATTGCTATGGTCCCCTAATGTCATTTTCTTATTTATTAGTTATTTTGTCAGTATATAAAACACATAAAAGAATGTGTTATAATTATATATATTTTTTATATTGATATATTGCTCCTAATTATTCTGTCTTTCAATTTATTTAGTTGCGTGTGAATTCAATATATCAACAATACATCTACTCTTTAGATATCTCTGATGTTTTATTATATAATTGACAAAATTATTTCTTCTTTCGTTTTTTTTATAATAAATTAGTAAGAGAAATTTCTTTTAAACCAAAAAAAGAAGAGGAATTTGGGTAAAAAAAAGTGATATTTTTATATATACAAATACAAGGACTATAATAGAGCAGCACACAAATTTAATGATTAACATTTGAGTGAAAAATATTTTGACTTTATGAATTATATTCTGAGATTTTTTGATACCAATCGAAATTGGAGTTATTTTGATTAACATTTGAGTGAAAAATATTTTGACTTTATGAATTATATTCTGAGATTTTTTGATACCAATCGAAATTGGAGTTATTTTGTTAACTTTGTAAGGAAATGGAAAAAGGATAAATATATCTCTATTTTATACGAGTAATTTTATCCTTCATATGAAAAATTTCAACTCATATCTCTATCTTTAGTTAAATGATTCAAATATATAATTATTGGCTAACACTCCCAATTCCCTTTTGGAGATTTTATTCTCCTTTTCGAAAAAAAATAACTAAATCAACTTAATTTCTCTATTTTTTTTTGTTCATCCATATTCGTTGATAAATTGGAATAATTTTTGAAAATGATAAATACTTCAATGACATTGATTTTCTTCACGGAGACACGTTTGAAAGTGATAAATACTCTTGTATTCGTTGACACATCTGCAAATTAGAAGTATTTGATGATTTGTATTTTTAATATTTTATACGTACTTGCTAATTTATCTTTTTACTTTTTAAAATTTGTGTCAAGTCAAAATAAAATAAACAAATTGAAACATATCAATTAAAGCACAATATGTAAAAAGATTTAATTAGGGAGATTACATTTAATATTTAATCAAGTCACACTTATTTATTCCATTATGTATTGTAAGAGTACATGCATGGGTACATTATAATTAATGAACAGACATGAACCCTAATTATTTTTTGACATGTGGCTACTTAATTACTTCATTAATTAACCAATCACAGGCATTGATACAGCAACATCCAAGATGTTTACAGCAATACGAACTCGAAAACACTTAAAATCAGCTGTGCCTGGAGAACCAATCAATCCTATCCGAACATCAGTTATGAATGGATTTTCCTTTTCAATTATTCCCTTAGCATATTGTGCTGGTACACCAATAAGTTCTGGCCACATTCGTTTTCCTACATATACACATAATTAATTAATTATAAATAGAGAGAATAATATACTCTATAAGTGTTATAATAATAGCAGATATCGAGTTGAATTATGATGTTTATTTTTAAAAAAATGAAAATAGCGGAAGAAATTTTAAGGTGGAGAATCTAATCGTTATCAATAATGTAATATTTTAGGTAATTAACCAATTGAATTAATAAAATTTTCAAAAATTAAATAATTTACATCTTGTTTGGCCAAATCTTTAAAAAGTTAGCAATGAGTTCTTATTTTTAAAAAAGTATATTCTAAAGATTTGAAGTGTTTGGTCAAGCATTTAAGAGAAAAAAAACAAGTGTTTTTAATAGTAGAAAAAACTGTTTTATGAGAAGCTAAAAAAAAAGAAAATTCCTTTAAAAGCACTTTACCTTTGCACATCAAGTTAGATTCATATTCCTTTAGAAGTTCGATGACTTCTGGTCCACCAATTTCTTTTCGTGCCATGAGAGTCTCAAAGGCTGTAAAAAAAAAATTCAATAGCGATTAGTGTATTTCTCATTTCAAGTTAGATTACCAGAAAATTATGATGCCTAAAAATCTCTGGCACAAGCAAAGGGTAGAGGGAGATTCATTTGAACTGTGACAGAGCCAACATTTTCAGTAAGTCAATATATATATTTTCATTAAGAGAGTCAACATTTTCACTAAATAATGTAATTTTTCAGTAAAAGGATATCAATTAACAATTCACTCTTTCAAACCTGCTTTGCCGGTTAGTCACATTATATTTATAAGATCAATTTTTTTTTAATGTATATATAGTATAAAGTAAATCCTTTGTGAAATTCCCCACCCCCTCCTCCCACACTCAAGCCCCATGTCGCAAAAGCAATATAAATTCTTTACAACTCTAATAATATTTTTGCAATATGATTATATATAGAGAGAGAGAAAGAGAGGTACTAACAAGTTGCAAGAAGAAAGAAAACAATAATGTGAGCAAACTTTGACTCCATTTTGTTTTAGTTGTAATGTAAAGAGTAGAAAGAATTGAGTGAATTTGTATAAGTTGTATCACATTAATTTATAGGCAGAGGTTGCCTTCATTGTAGTGAGGTACTACATACTAGTAATGTCTAACAACCACACGTTTAACAATTTGAAGATAAAGAAAAAATTATTATGTTTTGATATTTTTAAAAAAATATTTAATATGAAAAATGAGGGGAGACAGTGAAAATTAAATTTACGTATAGTGTAATAGGGGACACATCATACACATTGATGCCAATAATCGGTATATTATGAAATAGATAAGGATGAAACGGGAGATTTGATATTATAGTCGTTTATAATTTCTCTTACTTATATAGGGTTTTTTAATTTAATTTAGAGGAAATTGCAAAATAACATAGAAGATCTATAAATATATAAAATGCATGTTGGATTTGTAAGCTCATTTTTTTAAGAAAATTTAAATTGAAAGTGGATTTAGAAGATATTTTTTTCCTCCATAAAAATTGAAAATATAATTGTTTTAATTATTTTGTTTTATAAGGAGAACAATTTTATAAACTTTTGGATTTAAATGAAGGATTATCCATTTCGAGTGGTTCGAAATTTTAAAAGAGATACTTCTTTCATCAAAATATCAATAAAATTACCTCAAAATAAAGGGGAAACAAAACAAACTTGATTAATTTTTTGGTAATTTGGCTTCTTTATTTATCAGAAGGCTAGCTTAACTATGTATTTGTTGGGTTAAGAGGTGGTTACGGTGTCATGCGAAAATTTATAATGGTAAATCATATAATTGATAAATCAGACAATAAAAATTTATACTAAAAATATAATATTATATAAAAATTAATATAAAAAAAATTATAAATTGTTGATAAAATACATCTTCCCATAAAGTAAACTTTTAAATATCTACTGATCTACATTATAGAAGTTATTGTGTTCTACTGTGAAAGGAATCTTCAATTTATAGATATCCAAACTTTTCCTCTAAGAATATTATAAAATAAATATTAAAATGATATTTTTCTTTCAGGAAAAATAAAAAACATTTATAGTAATATTTTAATTTTTCTTTTAGAAAAAAAATAAACTTAAAAAAGATAAGAAAAACAAGATAAAACTCTAACAGTATTCTTCTCAATTGCGTATCATTATTTTTGTTTATGTTTTTTAATTTCTTATTCAATATTTGATCTCCTCTTTGAAATTCAATTTTATATATAGAGAGAAAAAATCTTTTTTATATCCGAGACTCAAATTCAATATTTTTTAAAATTTATATACTTCTTTCGCAATGCCTTTGGCATATATATAAACACTGCCTTAGCCAAGAAATGAAGGAATAAAATGTTATACAATAATATACGTGTGTAACTAAGTCATCAATAATTGATGATATATTCTCAATAAATCTAATAAAAAAATAAATTAAAAGGTAATTTTTGTCTAGTAAAAAGTGGGGGAAATTCAGAAAATGACATGGCACGTTTTATTTATGTTTTCAAAGTTTTCTCAATGCATTAGATATACAAAAGTAAAGATGTTATGGTCCCTAGCTATGAAATGTTTTTATTGATGAATCATTTTGCAAGTAATAGGGACGGATTTAAGAATTAAATGTTATGATTTTAAACTTATGATAACAGATTTAAATAATAATATATGAGTTTCAAATTATAATTTAAATAGGTAAATTATTGAGACAAAATCACGTCTCCATCTGTTAATTTTAAAAAATGATAAGGTATATATAAATCTTAAAATATAACATAAGGTATAAGCATATCATTTATGATAGTTTAAGAGTATATTTATCATTTTGTATTAAATAAAACACAAAACCATTCTTATTCTTTTTACAGGACTAATATTCTCATTGTTTATGAAGTTGGTGCTTGAAAAAAAAAAGGATATTTTTTTTAAAAATAAAAAAAATTATGGTCCCTATAAAATGTTTCTGTTCACTAGTCATTTTGTTAGTATATAGAACATACAAAAACTTGGTTTATAATTATAGGTACTTAATATTGATATATTATCTCTAATTATTATACCTTTCAATCATGCATGCATGTATTTAAACATATTCTTTATGTAAACAATTTTCTCTCCTCAAGATTTAATTGTACTATTTTTTTGCTTCAAAATATATAAGTGTACTTATTTAAGTAAAAATCATGTTTATTAAAAAATTAATAAATACAATGTGTAGTTTATTACTTCCTCTAGCCTTCTTTTAAAGTTAAAAAAAGTATTATATAATGCAATTCTTCTCATGATGTTATGTTTTCATAATTTGTATCTCAAATAGCTAAATTTCACTTGAGACGGATAGCGTATTTGACATCTTATGACAATTATTTTATCTAACGACAAATTATCATAAGAAATATTATAATAATAATTTCATTGCTAATTTTTTATATTTTTATTATGATGGAAGGAAGGAAACATAGGAAGGAAGGAAACATAAAGAAAAAACTAAAAAAAAGAGATGATACCAAACGTAAAATTGCTATGGTCCCCTAATGACATGTTCTAATTTATGAGTTATTTTGTCACTATATAAAATACATAAAAAAATGTGTCAGAATTATTTGTATTTTTTATATTGATATATTGTTTCTAATTATTCTGTTTTCTAATTTATTTAGTTGTGTGTGACAATATAGCATTTACTTTTTAGATATCTCTAATATTTTATTATATAATTGACAAAATTATTTCTTCTCTCATATTTGTTTGTCACAAATTAGTAAGAGGAATTTCTTTTGAACCAAAAAATAAATAAAAAATATTTGGGTTTAAAAAGAAAATTATATTTTTATATATACAAATATATAAAAATATAACTTAATGATAACCATTTGAGTGTAAAATTTTGACTTTAAGAATATCGATAGTTTTTGGTATTGGTTGAAAGTGGAGTTATTTTGTTAACTTTTGTAAGGAAACGGAAAGAGGATCAAATATATATCTATTTTATATAGAGTAATTTTATTCTTCATTTAAAAAGTTTCGACTCATAATTCTATTGTTAGTCAAATCATCCAAATATATAATTATTAATACCGCTTTGGAGTTCAATCAATAGGAATTTTTATTGATGAGTTTTTTTTTAAAAAAATCAATACTCAAATTCAGAGCTTTTAATTAAAGATGAATACATATTTATCTTTCCCAACATATATATAATGATATTTTTATTCATTATTGATCTCTCGACCTTCTTAACTTGTTCCAAAGAAAATATACCATACTGTTACGTTTTATTTTTAATTTTTGTGATGCGGTGGAAGGACTACTTCGACAATTACAATTCAAATCCTAGCTACCACACATTAATTAAATATATGATCCCAAAGATGTTAAAATCTTAAATAGAGATATCGATTGATTTTGGAAATTATGAAAGTATATACACTTTACCGACAAAATAACATGAAAAAAAAAAGTGAAGGAGTAACTCTTAATTGAAAAATATTAATTGTTATTGATAAATAATAAACTTCAATATCTTTTAAGAAAGACTCATGAAATTTAGTTATTTTGTCATGAGATTATTCGATTACAACATATGTATCAAATCAAAATCATACAAATAAACTGTAACGGAAGAAAAGTAATGCACAATATGTAAAAGGATTTAATTAAGGAGAGTATATTTAATTAAGCCACGCTTATTTATTTCATTATTTATAGTAAGAGTACATGAAGACATGCATTATAATGAACATACATGAACCCTAATTATTATTTTTTGATGTGGCTGCTTAATTACTTCAATAATAAGGTCCATTAATTAAGTCACTGTAGGAATTTGTACAACATAACCCAAAACGTTATCAAAAAGACGAACTCGGTCACATCGAAAATCGAATGTAACTGGAGAACCATTCAATAATATTGGAATATCAGCTATGGATGGATTTTCCTTCTCAATTGTTTCCTTAGCAACCTTTGTTGGTACACCAATAAGTTCTAGCCAGATTAGTTTTCCTACATATACACATTATTAATTAATTATAAATAGAGAGAATAAAATACTCATACATGTGTTATAATAATAGCGGATATCGAGTTGAATCATGATATTTACTTTTTCTATAAAAAAAATGAGAGTAGCAAAAGAGATTTAGGCAAGGCAGTCTAAGAGGCTATGGAATAGTTGTGTCACGATCCCAAATCGGGCCGCGACTGGCACCCACACTTACCCTCCTATGTGAGCGAACCAACCAATCTAACCCCAATCGTTTACCAATAATAACAGAAAATAATGCGGAAGACTTTAAACTCATTAATGAAAATCAATTAAATAACTTCTAAAAACTCAACAACTATTATTATCCCCAAAAATCTGGAAGTCATCATCACAAGAACATCTACTTCAAATTACTAAATCTAAGAGTATCTAAGAAGCTAAAATACATAAACAGCTAGTCCATGCCAGAACTTCAAGGCATCAAGACATGAAGAGGAGGATCCAGTCCAAGCTAGAAGCATTAGCTCACCCTGATATCCAGAGTAATGAAGACTGGCTAGAGTTGAGGTTGAGTTGAAGACGACCGTACGTTTGCTGCACTCCACAATTTACAAAGAAAACAAATACAAGTAGGGGTCAGTACAAACACAAGTACTGAGTAGGTATCATCGGCCAACTCAAAATAGAAAACAGTATATATCAGATAACATCATAAAATCAACTAATATCTTTAGCATGCAGCATTTACAATTACCATAACCCTTGGTTACAACACCAAGCACATCAATGAGGACTCACGCCTCCTCATCATACTCATTTGGAAATTAGGTTCATTAGATTGAGTATATTAACATCTTTCAAGGTTCATTATCTTTATTCCTCTCTTGTCGGTACGTGACACTCCGCTCCTCATATACTATCCTGGTGTCGGAACGTGACACCCGATCCATATTCTATCCTGGTACCGGAACGTGGCACCCGATCCATATACTATCCTGGTGTCGGAACGTGACACTCCGATCCTCATATACTATCCTGGTACCAGAACTTGGCACCCGATCCATATACTATCCTGGTGTCGAAACGTGACACTCCGATCCTCATATACTATCCT